CACAGACTCAAACATATTTGCCTACTAAACTAAATGGTATATTCAGTTGCAGATTCAGGCGACAAGATATAACAAAACAACAAGTTATTCCAGTAACAATATCACGTTCCACATAGTAAAATCTAAGTTGATATGAAGTATTCTCGAAACATAAAACCAGTCATAATAATCAAATTACAAGATTTGTTGAATTCAAAGACGAAGTAAAAGTGGTAAAACAAAATTTACAAATAACTGAAATCTAAAATGAATTTTTCATAAAAACTAAAACTTTTTGATGAATAAATTCATCATTTAATGAGTTATTCTGAAAAAATGCAACAGATGGTCATAAGTGAATTTGGTCACTTTTAGGAAACGGATAGTGTTTTCTAATCTATTTTTCAAAACTTATTGGTGTAGTCAATTATCAACGTTTCATCTTATGCACTTTTAGACATATTTATGATTCAGGCTCGTGAGAAAAACAGCCGAATTATTCTACTGAGATAATACGGAAAATCATCAGACGTAATAAACATCAAAATGAACACATTTATGAGTGAAGATAAGCCTTTAAACGATAGGAAAGTAAACTATGTGATAGCTACTTAAATGGCTTCGTGTGCTTTATAATGAGCGGAAAGTAAATGTGTACAAAAGTTCTATAACAGGAAAATAGGTTTAATTTGCTTTTTATCAAAGTGATATACCAGTTACAAAAGACTCTGTGCCATCCACTTAGCAAATAATTGCATTCTTCACGTTATGTACATGCATGTACCAGAGTAATTCACAATCACCTCGATCACATGGAAAATAACTCACCAAACAATAGATTAAATAATTTATTTTCCGCTAACATTTCTACTGCTAATCAGTTGTGTAAAATCATGATCACCTTATAGACATGAGCAATATTGAAGAACCACCTTCAGGGAACCGAGTTTCACAAGAAAGTAACTGCACATAATTCTGAACATTAAAGACGGAGTATACAAACTCCTACAAACAAAAAATTATCACACCGATTTAAGGAGTTAGCGGCTATCTAGGCTCAACAATCTAATTCAGCGTTAGAGTCTCAGCATAAACACTGGATCGCTGGTACATCTAGTCAATGCATTGCAAAGTGAGAAAAACCCTGGTTCTGGATAACATTGGTAACCACAGTACAGGATTACATTTTGTTTACGTAAGGATATCAATGGATAAATAATATTCCTTGAAATAAAACGAGATATTTTTTAAAACAGATGAGCGATGACGTCATTTGACGATAGAGACTTTGGACGTGTTAAGTTGTTTTTTCCTAACATAATCATGCTGTCTAGTTCAGTCGTAATTGTTAAATTTTACGGATTTAAAATATTTTTGTTAATGAAATGTAGATTGATCGGTTTGTAATGTCGGTTGCTATGTCGAGCCCATATAGCTTATTCTAGCTTACGGATATACCAATTTATTCATCCTTCTTCACTTATATTTTGACCTTGTTAATTATCGACCTTGACTGTTTTTATATGAGCGTATGTGTGCACACCTTATCTAATCACCACATGTCTGTAAATTATTTTTGTCTGACTATAAACATCGATTCACGCTTGGTTAAATCGAGTTGGCTTACATGCCTTCTCCACATCATGTCATTTCTGTTTGTTTCTCCGATCGATTGTCTGTTCAGATCAATGATCGTATGAAATATATGCATTCAAACTTCATTCTCGTATTTGACTTATTTAATTCCGTTATTCCCTAACGTGGGTTAAGTCGATTATAATATACGAGGATTGCCGGAATGTATATTTCAATAACAATCATTCATATGCTCCACCTAGAATCAGATATAGGGCCATTAAAGGTTGATTCAATCAGAAATATATCAGCTCAAGGATAAGTGCGAGATGATGATACGGGAATTCACTTGATCAAGAAGACAGATATATGTACGTTAGAGTTTTTTACGCAGATTTTTCGCTGATCTTAATCATAAAACGTCAATTATTTATTATTAATAAAAAACGAAAACAATTGAGATATTGTACTTTAACTAACAATAATTAAAAATCCCTTGAGCCACATTATATGACTGACAGCCAGTGTGTACTGATTTCGATTTGTTGACATGATAGAGATACTGAAATTATTATTAAAAAATTAACAAGTTGGTTTATATTCTAACTCTTAAATAAACATATCATGCAAATTGATTAAAAATAACTTCCCTTATTGACATTTACAATAAAGTAACTCATTAGTTTCAGTTAATGAAGTACTTTAGCCGACAAATCGAATGCTATGTAGTATACAGAATAGTGACAAGAAATGATACCTGTCGTTTTAAGCCTAGACTTGAAAAACAAGATTTCAGAACAGCTGTTCTGTAATTCGCATGTGAATATGCAACTATTGGATAAAAGCTTGCCGTATTATCATCGTCACTATTATCACTCGATGATGTTGACCAATAATATAGGCACATAATTGAGATACAGTTTAACTGCCCAATTTAAGATGTCTATAGTGTTTCTTTCCAGCTCATTAAGACTAAATCAGGACTAACTTGAAGCAGAGCTTAGGCTATTTCATCTTAATACAGTTGAATAGAATAGCAACATGTATTAGTAACGTACCTTACTTCATTGTTTCGAATGACCTATAACACATATCTAAACAAATTACAATGGCTCATCCATATGATTTAAAAAGACAGTTATACGAAACAACAAGTCGGACTAAAAGTTATCAGAACAATAAGTTACATAGAGTGTACTCTAGTTTCATAGTCATCATTTTGTAGCTGGGCTAATGATTCCACTATTCTATCCAAATATGTGTGAGACGGTTCTAGAAATTATGGTCGAACGTTCGATAGCGGAATGCCTTTATCACTAATCCACCTTTATACCAACGGTGAGATTTAAATAACATAAATCCTAAAACCAGTAAGTAAATAAAACCAAATAGGTAAACAGAAGTATAGTAAAACAGATCGAAAATTTATGATTTCATAGTCTGTGTGGTAGAGTCTCAGACTGTGAGACTTAGTAAGACGGGTCAATTAACCTAGGGAGCAACGGTTCTGATTACAGTTACATCCTTTTGACGAGCATCAACAAATGTGAAACGTGGGTCCACGGTTTTCAGTTGATTACTTCCAATCATCATACTATGAGCACTTAAAAGTCGGACAATATACACCAAATATTTAGAACTGAAAATTTGAGAAATTCTAACAGTGGCAGAAACATTTATATAAGAAAGAATATCAACTACCATTTATTTGCGATGAACGATTGTTTGTTCTTAATACATTGATAAAAAGTACAATTTTAAGTCAATAATGTAGATATTTGATATTTTTTTCAACTTTTAACTAAATGTGAACTAAATACCCAAAATTATAGAACAAATGAATCCAGTACTACCACATCAATCTTTCTACATTTCTGTTAGTTTATCATATGAATGAAAAACTCTCTTCTTATTCAGTTTGTAAATACTTGACCAACATGTGTTTGGTAATCCCATGTCGTATTTCACGCCGCATAAATGTTAATATAATTGTAAATCTCAGTTTATTGCTGATCAGAGGCTAGTTATACAGATGATTTTGTTATTTTATGGCAATTTGTCGAATAATTATTAAGGAATAATCAATAGATATTACACTGCATCAGAATGAAATTTATGATGTTTCCGCAGTACAGGTGGTCTAAAATATCACAAACTCAGTGGTAGGTATAGAAATAATCACATCTCAAAATCCAACATGGTTCCTAATTAAAACAAGTCATATGCTTTACTAAACATAAAAAATAAACTATCAGTAATAAACGTATAAAGATCTGGAATAAGTCTAAATTATCATATTTCATTTTAGCATAGCGGAAATAAAACAAGATGAAATACAGGGACGAAAAACCGGTACCATCCACAGTGAAGCACTTAAGGTAAAATATATGGATTAAAAGTGTGGACGAACGTGTGGATTATAGCAGAAGAAAACAATACCAGCATATCCATCAGACTTGAGACAGGGTTTTTTGAATTTTTGTGCGAAATTTTGAGTTAAATAAAAACTTTTAATTTATTAGGAGCTACCTATAAAATGAAATAAGTGTTACTATGTTTAGAAAAGAGAACGCTTATAATGAATAAAAATTACAGGAATAAAAATCAGGAACGAACTAGGTTGAGAACTAAAGTTTCAATAGGGACGTGAGCAGTTTTCCAGGGAAGAAGAACAGGAAAATAAAGTACTGTAAAGAAAACTAAGATTTAGAGGAAGATAGAGAATAGACAGAATTGCTCCAAGAACCGATTTTAACCCACAACATTTGAAGTCTACAACAATAAGATAACATCATAAATTGAAATGCCTAGCTTGTGAACTGATATCATTACTATTTATAGTAACCAGAGTAACAAATTCGTGCTGAAAGTAGCTTCGTATGTGTAATACATGATTCAAGCAAATTAATCGATGGTTTACATCATTAATGATAATCCTCAACCAAGTACTCCACGAATAACCACGTTGTATTTCGCTCGATGAGAGTAATAATTCGAAGGCGTGAGTTCAAATAATACTAAATCACGAATATCCTCAACATTCATAATCATAAAGTAATACAATCCCATCTACTTGCATTTTGACAATAGACAGACTTTGGCTGTTGTTTAACTGGAGCAATTCGACTTAGACAAAACAGTGACTATGTTAATAATAAATGTAAGATTTCATTACCGATAACTAATCATTGTATATCAGGTAAATCGTTTGGATTTAATTACCTAGTAAATTCAGTAATACTTTTTTTATAACTATGAAACAAGCTGTTATTCAGTAGATAAACAAATGTACTTTTTGCTAATGTTTATTGCATATATTTGAGACTAATTATTTTTTTAATTCAACTGATTGATCAGTACAAAATAAATAGGTAAACACACATATTCTAAACTCATTGTAATGACAGATAGTATTCGATTAAAAACTTATTGATAGAACAACGTATAATTTAGTAAGGTTTATTAAGAATCAGTTTCATCAAAATGGTATTTGGCTATTTGCCAAAGTACAGTCAATTGTAAAACTTGACAAACACTAAGAGAATGTTTATTTCTATTCTTTCGTTCACAATCATTTTCATATAAGTTGACATAAAACAAACAAGCTTCTACATTCCCTGTTAAGTACACCTTTTCCTCATTATTTCAATGCGTAATAACGATTATATATATCAAATGTTTTGCTACCTATGATAAAATAAACGTATATATGTGGTGAACAAACAATTGAAGAAAATGTACATTGAATAAAAATATCTCTCTCAGAAGAAGATCAAGAAAGAATATGGGAAACAAAACCGGCTATGAACAGTAAATTCTACTTTTTCACATCCACATACAAAATAACTATGTTTGAATGCGTACAATATGAAAATAGTGTGACATTATCTGTGAATCTAAATACTAGTAAAGTTTCACAAAAGTAATATAAGTAAGGATGACAACAATATTAATATACCAATAAGAAGAATTACATTAACAGTTGTAATGAAAAATATAATTGCTGATAGTAATAATCGTAGCACCTGTATTAGTTGCAATGATATTAATAATAAGCCGTAACCAATAGAAAGAGTTGAGTCATGAAAGCACCATTTGTCTCTCACTGAAGTGACACATCCACGCACATTGAATATACACACATATATATTTAATGACTAGAAATAATAAGTTATACAATTACATCTGGTGTTTATAGAAGTGAAATAAAGAGATGGAAAGTATAGAGTAATGTAAATAGAAAGGCTGAGATTAATATAAAGGAAGTAAACATGTAAATAACAACAAAAACGAAACGATAAGTGTTTTGAGAAGAAAGAATGCCAATACGAATCATACTTACAATAGTGAGGAAAGAGTGTGTGGTTGAGTAATGATATTCATAAATAATGCTCTTTTTTTCTGAGTGGAATGTAGAGTTCTTTGTGTATATGTATGAGTGTTTGATTTTTATTTAAAAATAGAGTAACTGTAATTTGAACTTCTATAAACAGAGGAAAATGCTATAATTAACTTGTTGAACAAAATAAAAAATAATCTTTATGACTAATGCACTTTTTTGAATTGGTGTACAACGTTTAAAACTGTCGGATTAAAACAAAATGAATAAACAGATAGCTAATTAATAAATATCTATATAAATTTTAACGAATAAAAATTAAACCAGCCATTATAGACTGCACTGATAAGTAAAACCAATGTTTGTTTCGATAAATAATATTAATAATAATAATAATAGCAGTCGACTTCAAAAGTAATCTCGAAGAAAAAGATAGAACCAAGTCTGAAGTAAACATTCGACACATGTAAGATACAATGCAAGAAGAAAAGAGAGGAAACAAAATATAACGAATTAGTCGAAAAAAACTACCAATAAAATCTGAGCAAGAAAATATTACATCATCTACTTTTAAGGTAGTGGTCATTGTGATAAATCATAGAAAAACCATTATTATTGTTAGTAGTAGTAGTATCGTTGTTACGTTTGAGCTTCTAATACAATTTCAGAACAATTTTGTTGTAAACGACGTAATCGACGCGCACGCCTTCTTCGAAAATGCTGTATAATAATAGGAACAACTGAAAATGCTGCCAAAACCATACCCAAACCAGAAATAATGAAGGCTGGATCATGTGATTGAGTTAGATCAATTATATAACCTGATAGTACAGGGAAAGACAAATAGGAAATGAAAGGAAACAAGTCACAATTCAATCATTTTGCACTAACATTCAAAAACTCAATACTACTTGATCGCGCAGAACTAAACAAGCATAGTTGGGCCAAATGTTTGGATAAGTTCTTAACCACACATAAAAATAACGTTCTTTTTTACCACAGTATAATAAACTTAGTTAAGAATTTGTGTACTTCGCTAAGCGAGTAGTCATAAAATCAGTTAGAAGACTTTCGGAGTTTGAAAAACAAAAAGGCCGAAATAAAAAACCAGTACTATTTAATTTTGCACAATTTTTTAACATATATTCATAAGCAAAATAGAAATTGGAAGCAACGTTTTCATTTTGATTAGTTCAAGCTTTTAAAAAAACAAACACACTGAGTGATAAAAGCTTTCTATAAAGTTAACTAATTCCAGGTTGTACAATTAGGATTTATCCTACAGGTTTAGGTAATTAATGAAGAGAGAGATTATTGGCACAAGTGGAAAACTGTCAATTCAAATTAAAAACAAGAATTGGTTAGAAAGGTGTTATATAAAGAAGTGAACACCACGCAAATAAGCAATCAAAAACCATTAAACAGTGGAAAATAATAGAACACGATAAATCGGCAAACGTCTTATTAGATCAGTGTAAAAACACAATTCTATGACTAAGGGGAGATAATTCAACGCTTTACAAACTAACAAAAAGGCATATACAGTATTTACTAAGCATAAGTCATGACAATTTTTAATTTGGCGTTTGTTAACTTAAACTGAAAAATAATTTTTGGACGTTTGTAGGGTGGTCAGTGTGAATGAATCACCAAAACTGTCCTAAAATTCAAAGTTGAGAAATTATTGTAAATAAGCAGTTAGCCAACGAGACTATCTGGACATATGTTACTCATAGTACACGTTTGTGAAGTTAAATTGGCAATAACATACGTAAAGCATTTCTGGTGGTAATAAATAAGACTGTAGATATTCAAGACAACAGTTCACACAGTCCCTAAAGTAATAGTTATGTGACAGATTTAAAATACTTTTATCTACTATGTTTATAATATCATATGAAGATTTTCCTAAACAAAAAACCCTTGAGTCGAATGAATTGGGGATGATATAAAGACATTTGAAACACCGTTAAGCACCTACTACCATTACACAATTAAGTACGATACATGAAAACGATTAATGAGAAGTCTACGTAAATGACGTTATTCTACGCTTTTTATATTATTAGTAATTAAGTCCGATCCACTGTCTTCAACGATGCATTAAAAAAAATGTAATAGTCAAACTCATTAAAGTTCACAAATAAACCAACTTACTGAAGAATGGTACACAAGTGTTTACAACAAGGTTTAACATTTACAAATAAAAAAATAATAATCGAACTTACACGAAACTTCTATCAACTTTTAAAACACAAGAGAAGTAACAGCATGTAAATTACTAACAGAAAAAAAATTAAGAGTACATACGATTAGCGTTCTTTAATTAGTTAAAAAAATAAGCTAAATTTTTAATACTTTCAAGAAGTAATACAGTTCAAACGTACATGAAAATGATGTTAATATATATCGTCAATATTGATTTTATTTGAGTAAGGTCTTATAGTAAATAATGTGAGAAGCACTAGTACATTACGGTGTAATTCAGGTTTATAATATGGACTATAAGAAATGTGCCTTGCCAAGTTCGAGAAAAAAAGATGAAGACAATATTTCAGAATGTTTTCATACATCATAGTTTTATTATCACACTAATCTTTAACAGTCCAAATGGAAAAAAGCTATTATTCTGTTTCTAGTCTTACTTGATAAGAAGCTCAGTGTGTAAAACTATGCCATACTAACTAAATTAGCCGATCATATAGATAACTTATGTACATATCCTTTGATAGTATACAATGTTGCTCATTTCTGTATCCGTATAAATGCAAATTTAAGACAAAAATAATTTTTTGTGCATTCTAATCTGCGTAATCTGAAAGCTAATCTTTGATTACCATCACCTTAGCCAATTCAAAAATCCTTTTTCCTATTTTTACTACAAAGCGAATCTTTACTATATTATTTCAAAAATTTCATTGAAACGAATACATGTGTTCAGGTCATCAGTCGTTTGCACGTGACTACTTTATATACTCCCTCTCTCCCTCTTAAATTCCCCATACATGCTAATCACTAGGATACAATTTCCTAACTGTACTTTTAACTGTCACCAAGTCGATAGCTAATATATGTATCCTTGTATACATACGGTTATAAGTTAGTCGGTTGCCACAGTTACCCGTTTTCTTTACGTTTCCATCTTATTTTGTTGCTAAAATTGATTGCTTTTATTTTTTTAATTGCGAGTTCTAGTATTCATTCTAGTCATTTATTTGTATTATTTGTTTCTGTGTTAGAATGGGAGTATGAAGTAGAAGAAATCACAATTAACATTATCTAAAGGAAGGTTTGGAAATAGTTAAGAGAATTGTTATATGATTGTCTAACTGGTCTGTTACCTTCTTGTTTGTGTATATGAGTGTTTGATTAATGTATTCATACATTCATTTGATAATACAATGAAAGTAAGTCAAAATCAATTGTTATTACGATATAATGAGAAAGTTATGAGCGACTCTATGTATAGTCTTTTATTTTTTATTAATAGAGGTGCACGTAGACATGATAAAACTTTTATTGTAGTAATACAATAACCTAACTTCTTTATCTCTGAAGTGGTTATGCCTGTAGAAGCTATATGTCACTGTATTACGTTACTTACTATAAATCCACAAATTCATGATGTCCTATTAAAGTATATGATGTAACGTACTCAGCTTTAAGTCACATTTTCGATTTAAGAATCAACGATACTATCCGGCTACACTAGAAAAAATAAGTGTTCAATGTATTCAGATCTGCTATTCATTGACTGAAAGTCAGGGGCTCGATCCACTAAACCATTTCTTTTATATGAAGTGATCTCAACTCCAAATAATCCACTTGTGATGGTTGTGACTACAGCTACGGACATTTAAGTTGTCAATCATTAATCAAATCCTATTTTTACCACTCACGAATATTATCAACTTGATGATAAAAACTAGCTCTACAAATCCCTGTTAATCGCTTTTTAATTCGTAGTCATGTACAATTCATGTTGTATAAACTTGTATAATAATAAATATATTGGATGTGACAAGAATTTAATTTTGACGTTAATATTAAAGTAAGGCAAAGTTGTAAATTTTTATGAAACACATACACATTTCAGTAGAGTTGAACTGTAGCTAACTAGAAGTGGAATGCAAGATGCGAGTTTCATCCTGTTTTTGGCTCGTCAGCTGGATGTAACTAAATTCCAGTGTTAACGCTCACACAGATTCGTACCCAATACATTTCGCTTCAAGGGTCAACGCGTTGTCCATTGAGGCATTGAATCCAGGAAGCCACTGAATTTTTCAAAGAGTATGAATGTATTTTTTAGCTTTACTAAATTCAATTAAAACTATATTGATATCAAGAAAATCAGATGTAATTCCATCAGATTTCTGAGACCAAGTCAATTGATCTTTCAAGGTAGTCAAATTTCCGGATCCGAAGGAAGAATTAGAAAATCATTTTCTAAACACCCCAATGTAGTTAATTTGGAGTAGTTTCCAAACCTGCTGATGAAAAATTCGCTATCAAATAATGAAGTTCAGAGAATACTAAACCTCAACCGAACAAACAAGTATCAGGGTGGTACAACGACGAAAATTACTAGATAGGTTGCTCGTGATACTTACGCTCATGGGTGTTCGTCATTATTAAAATTTCCAGAAATAAAATAACAACAAAAACATTTGAAAAAGCAGATTGTCCAAACGAAATCTATTGCCAACCAAGATACATGTTGCTGAAAAAATGAAAGAGAATTTGTCATAGATACAACTCACCAGTTTAGTTTACAGATTTTAAGTCAATGAGCTATACGTTTGAGTCAAGTCGAATACTTTGTATTTGAGAAACATACATGGTTCACACATACACATAATATAAATATATACCATGTTTCCATCTATCAACCACAAGCTACTAACCACCGAAACATAAGTGTTAATAAACGTAGCATGTAATTATCAAGATTTTGTAACAACACATGGTCTCTCTTTAGTTGATCAAAATATCATTATTTTAGGTCACAGGTAAGTACTGTGATCAATAGTCATATTGCCAAACTGAAAAATACCAACCACTTGAAAGAAGTATTTCATATGATTACTTAGCAACTAGCAAAAACCTTGGTAGTACAATCACTACTGAATATCGTCAAATAAGTGGTGTCAAAAGGAATATGTTAAATAATGTGAGTAAATAATTAGTAACTAAATAGTGTTAGATATCACTTGATTATATATATGGTTATAAATTAGTTATTATGCTACCATAGTTACTCATTTTTGTTACATTTACATTATAGTTAGTTGCTGAAGTTGGTTACTTTTACTTTTCATCACGAATTTCGGTTTTCATCTCAGTCATCTACATAAAAATGCTGAGAAACGATGAGTTTCTTTGAGATCGAGAAAATGAATACAATACTGACAGATATAAACATGTGTAAAACGTAGGACTAACATTTCACATTACTAGCTACCCCGAGGACAGTATAAAACATTATCATAACTATTATTATTATTGTTCATGGCTTTATTTAATATTATATTTTGGTACAGTATAGAATTCTCAGTACGAGGTATTTCAACAAGTTTCTTTCACAAAAACAGAAAAAGGTGAAAAAAGATCTGAATCTGTACAATTTATCAATTAGAGACATGTTTAAGAATACAGGTTATTGACTAGGTCAACTCTAACAACCTGTTCGTTAAAGAGTATATTTGCTATTCATAAACGCGCCTGTTTAGGTTATGCGATTAATAGACATAATGAGGTGTTAAAACAAAATAAAAAAACAGATAACTTGTTGAGAATATTAAGATGGTAGGAACAGGTAGTTCAAATATTCAAGCAGGCCACCAGATGATATAACTTGTTAAGTAAAAGTTGTCTTGGGATAGAATCAAAAAAGTATAGTGCAGAAAAGAGAATCAAACATACTTCTTACCCTTATCGAACATGGTTATCAAAGGACAAATACAGCTCATGGTTACTGTTTCATTATTTCACTTCTTGAGCAAATATTTGCATAGAGAGCGGAGTTAATTATGGAACCTCATAAATACAATCAAGTATAGCATTAAATGCTTTTCCGATCGAAAGTATACATGAATTTACACCTCCACTTTGAATTTTTTTTCTACTACCGTCCTTATTAGAGTGCCAGATAGAAAAACCTTACCTTCTTCCTTCTGACTCTGTTAGCGTTTACAGTAACATGTAATGTTGTTACTAGTATTCTGTCGTGTGCACCTCTGAATCAATCGCTTTCTTGATACATTACATAAGACAGTCTTTTCAGTTTGTAATTTTACGAAACATATAATAGTCCTGACACAAACCACGACAAACACAAATATGGCTAAAAATTCGCATATCATTTTTATGAATAAACAACATCTACAAATGAATTTAACGACTGTATTTATTTTCAGAGCCAACATTGCCAGAACTCGGTACCAAAGTTGGTTTTCTTTAATTATTTACACAAATAGTACAACACGTATATCTATATATCACAATATGGGAATTTTACAAATAATACAATCAAAAAACCATTCGTGATGGGTTAAACAAGTGACCATTTGATAAGGTTAATAAAATAAAATGGATCTAATAAGATTATTGTTGAGAAAAAATAGTTTCTTAAACAATCAAAAATGTCATGAATGAATGTATGTTCGGATATTTTCGATTTCTATTTGTCAATTAGCATTACAACTGTGGATGATACACTTACAATTATTGTCGCATGATCGACAAATTCAATCGGTTAACCAGGCATATAAATAACATGAGACAAAGTATATCAATCTACCCAGTAATAATAAACAAAAAAACTAATCATTTTGGTAAAACATGTATACAATTTACAGTTGTATGCGCTAAATTCCAGTCAATAATGTAACTAATTTTATTTAGTTTATTAAAATAATAGTTAATCAAAACTTCAGAATATTCTACAACTTATAATGGTAGTAATGAATTAGATTTATTAACAACAAAGTTATTTATAGTGAATGAAATACACAAACTATGTAATTAGTATCGTTAAAACGATACATGATTATCAATTTGCATTCATACATCTGAAGTTTGAAAACGTATATACAGTCACTTCCAGTGAAATTTTACTTACTTTTTTCCCTTGTTAGGGGTGTTGTTTACGAAGGGGGACAAGAAGCGAATATCCGGAGCTTACACTGGGTTAGTGGGTACGAAAGGTTCACCTAGAGGAGTTGAAAAATCACGATTCCAGATCGACGGCACACATGGGCTCCAGGATCCTGAGGGAACAAATGGAGTATGAACCTATCTTTGGTCACCGGTTACCATGAGATCTCTCAACGTTGCTCCACTGCCTTGAAAATTAAAACTCTATGTCAAAGGCTTAGGCAGTGGCTCCCTAAGAAAACCGCTTGCTTCGGTTTGGGTACCCGAAAGTATCCTAACCCTCACACAAATTTCATGTGGCACATATATATTTTGACTCCCCTTTGTATCAATGTTTGTGTTTAAATAAATAAATAGTTGAAAATGACTTCTGGATAACTAGAATATGATGTTCCTGACGAATTGATCTTCAAAAATACTAAAGAATTATAGATATTATATATAATCACCAGAAGACCCTACAAATGAAACTAACCAAGTTCCTCAGGACTTGATGCAAAGAGATTTAGCTCTCAGATTAATTAACCTAAGATGTATTAAGTAACATATTCAACTTTATTCGACAGAGACGTTACTTTTTTATTCAGATCAATGATGAAATAAGGAATATATAGACAACTTAATAGGAATCACGAATTATCTAAAAAATATCAGATAGTATCGAGAAAAATGATAAGGTAATAGAGGTCAGCCGAAGGTTTACATGTTGTGCTAATGAAAACAGTTGATTGTATTACTAAGATGAAACTAGTTTGAAATGATTAAGATTTTAGATAAATGAAATGAAGATTTCATTGATTCTCGGGAAAAGCAAATCACTAATACACTCAAGACTTTTAAGGAAGAAGCTCACTGATAACGTAACGCACAATATCCAACGGCCCCAGTGGTTTCATTTTTATTACATATACGATCTACCAAGGATACATAAACATAATGTCTTAATTAGACTTATATTATCAGTGATTACGTCACCTTATAACAAGCTTGTACTCTGAATAGCACAAAAGTTGGAGCCACGGTGCTAGCAATCAGCTACATATATCTTGATAGATCTGTTTGACTTTATTGTCAAACTGAATGATGTAAACAACCTTGGTAGCTTAATAGTTTTTTTTTGTTTACCAAAGTGCCTTTTCCTGAAATTACAGAAATCGTTTACCAACATTCTGACCTCTAACCTCTGCCAGTATATTATTTGAAACAACTCTAATTACATGGATGAGGGCTGTCCAGTTCCGGTTTAACAGTACCACATACCATCACATTGTAGAAACTTAACTTCAGTAAGTCCGGCACTGGGAAATATTTTTGTGGGTAAGCTTGGAAGACCGAGCTTATGGAAGTAATTGATAAATTGATGTATTATTTGAAGTACTTAGGGATATATTCATGGTAAGTAATAATCAACATGCAGCCTACATACAGCCTTATAACTTTCTGGAAACGAATATCTAGCTTACTATGGGACACAAAGAGGACGAGAAGATCCAATCTCTTATACCGTAATGCAACAGAGAAGAGATGAAACAGTTTAAAGTTTGATTTACTGACAAGGTACAAAGAGTGTATTTTAACTGGAATAACTTTTGTTCAGCCTGTTACAAAACTTACTGGCCAAGACACCATTTTACAGAGAAGAAAAAATATTTACCAATAACAAACTAGAATAGAAACTTATGAATGCTAAAAGGCCCCCAATAAAAGACAAGTATCCATAAAAGTTTGTTAACAGATACAGTAAAACGGGCTATAAAAAGCTTAAAATAACTTCGGTCACCAGATAACCCATTACATGTTTACCATGACTTTAGACGTGTTGATGCTCCAATATCCTGGACCCAAAACGATCGTTTTCTGTAAAGCTACATGCTCCCTAAAACAATCAGAAATCGACCGATATGACTTTCATGCTATTTCCAACTGTGTGTATTCATTTATGTGTATCTCACAAGTAAGTTAGGCTGATAGATAAGAAAAAAGGCCCTACCTTAATATACTCGCTCGAATGTCATGAAGAGTTTCAGGAGTGCTCTTTCAAGATATTCATTTGACACATAGCATGAAGTATGGACCCTAATATCCTTCCACGTGATTATTAAAAAAAGTAGTATTTAGGCTTGTTGAAGTTGCTGAATCCATAACTACTGAACGCGAAAACCACGTGTTTTTAAAAAGAAATGGTTATGAGTCCGTTATGGCCTTCGAAAAATACCTCTTGTTTCATTACATTACAGTATGTTTTTTAACTCCTTCTTCTTTCGATTACATGACCTCTCAATTCTTTACTTGTTTATAATTGTATTTTTAACTGAGTTTAATTCATGTTATTCGTTACTGATATTAACCTGTATTCAGTCATTTTACTGTACAATCATTTAGTGTTTTGTTAGTACCATGTTTCGTGTTGTAGAGTCTTCTCTTGAATAAGACATTTATTTGCGACACATGATTCAATATTTTATCTTATTCGCGTCGTTTTTCTACCAGCTTCATTTGTATAAGTATGTGAATCTACAGTGTAACCCGTAATACAGTACACAAATGCTAGTGAAAACCCAGATGTTTGGAGTGAATGTTGCTCTAGTGCTCAGTTCAACAACGACAACTCAAGTCCGAATGTTGTGATGAGAAGAACTTTGGAGCGCTGAACCGGAAACTTGATCATAAACGTATAAGATACAGAATAAAACAACAATGGGACTTTCCAGAGTCCTAGTCGGACATGTCTATCGTCCGAGCTACATAGAGGAGAGAACGTCGAAAGCGGTCAATTTGAACAGCAGGTACGGCTTCGGAAATACCTGGGTAAAACATAGGAGTGAAAGGCAGGATTCAGAAAGTAACCATTTATTAATTCGTGTTTGGTAGGTCAAAACAAAATGAACTGCAGAGTTAAATATGGAAATTAACACAAGAAAAAGTACAAAAGAAGTGAGTATACAGGAGAACGGAGATATATATTAGGTAGTATATCACGAGAGTATTTATAATATCATAGCTAACTTTTGTGAGCAGGCGTTTATAAAGTAGGTCACTTATATTGATCATCGCAGTTAGCTCTGCTTTGTGGTGTAGTAATATTACCTGGGTAAGCAAGCCAAAGTAGATTGTTGGGGCAAAATTCATTTTTCCGGCATTTTGTACGGTTTGATTTCTATTACGCCAGTCAACAAGTGGAATTGGAGGAGTGACAGGTATACACTATGATACCTTTTACATTTACATTCCTAAAATATCTTTCGGAGATAAGTATGACAGAGGCTTCATTTTCGACCGTCAAAAAACTATTTGCTATACAACCCTGAAAGTTTTAATTATTCGTCTGGCTAGAATAGCATCTACATACTGAACACAGCTGAAAGTAGGTTGATCTGATAAGATGACTTTGTAATGAGAGCTTTCCTAAAAACCTCTGCTGTATCACATAAGTTGATATAATCAATGAACCATGAAACAAGAAACAATGGTTGAAGTTTCCGAAAAAATATTTTATTGCTGTGAGAAGGCTCAGTCACAAACGTCTTAAAGATTACTTGATCGATATGTTACCAACTATTGCACTGACACTTCGTTTTTTTGGCACTGGAGATTCAGATGAGTTGAGACACATTCCAACCACCGATAATGCTATATGGAAAACCTACTATCTGATGATTCGACAAAAAAATGCTTGTTTGAAATGCCTACGAAAGTATAGCAGGATCTCTCTATTGATATTTTTAAAAGTGATTAGTATTATCCAGTCTGGAACAAAGTTACAATGTATAATGTAAAAATAACAAATCTAAAATAAAATATCAAACTAATAGACATTCATTGGATAAAGTAACTGTAAGCAATCAGGTAACTTTTACTACATCCGTTTCCTACAAAATCAATGAAACCAGTAAATGATTTATAAAAGAAAAAACTAATCATTGACCAGTAAGTAGAAATATTATTCTCCCAGTCTAACGTATATATATATATATATATATATATATATATGTTTCATAGGTTCAAACAAAGACTATGTATACTTTGAAATGAAGATGTAAAACAAACATTGCTTAAATGAAAATGAATTACAAGCTTCGATTGTTTAGACAAGAGTTTTTGATAATATCAGCCGACCTTTATATCATTATAATGATTATTTTTATATTGCATAGAAGCTGATGGTTATTAAAACATTTATCATATAAATCTTATGTAATTTGTAATTCAAATTAATTTCAACTTGGAAGTTCAAGTAGTTCTAGGTCACATGTACTCGGCAATGAGACATACTTTTCACGTGAAAGCAAGTGGTATTACACACTGAAACATACTGAAGAAAGTTGAGTTGAGTTTGAACGTGTAACTGGAGGTTTGAAAAGCATATGTTTTAACTACTGCTCTACAACCTGTATTTACTTGGGTTTTCGCTACTATTTATGGTTACTTATATGTGCGCAAACATTTATTTAGATATCCCTAACGATGAACAGTTATACTGTAAAAATAAACGGTTTTAAACAAATTTCACTAGGAAATTAATCGATTTAAAATTGCAATAATAAATATTACAGATTTTCTAAACGTACCAATCAGACTTCCTTGAGTTTATCTTAACAGTTCTTTTTACATAAAATGGTGCAGCCAGAAGCACATGCATTCCATGATGAAAGCTACAGTACTTAAGGAACTAACATTAAATGTGCTGCAAAGTACTTACTAAATGGTTAACTATCGTTTTGAAACGACTATGATCACGCTTTCGTACGAGCATGCATTTGTTTGCGACTCACTTGATGCAGAAAAACTACAATAAGAAGACCCATTATAATTGAACTGAGTGACAAGAAAGCCAAAAGTAAGTTCCAGGAACAACTGAAGTCACACTTAAACAGTTTGGAAAAGGAGGCTGACTCAGATGTTGCTTGGAAAGATAAACGAATGGCTATGGAAACAGCAGTAACATTTATTAGTAATTTAAACCAAAAGCTTACAAAAAAACCAATGAATTTCTACTAAGACTATTGCACTAATGGGTTCTCGTAAACTCATCTCATCAGCGTCTGAACACAATGAAGAGCGAAAGCAAACCAGATCTAGGTTAACCGAATATCTAAGGAACGACTGTGAGCAGTGGTGGGCGACAAAAGCAAAGATGAAAAAGGCAGAGGCTGTAGGTAACACCATACAACTCTTCGGACTGATAAAAGAAACCGGAATTAAGAAGTCAATTGTAAGCGAGACAATCTCGGTAAAAGATGAGACTCTCATCTGCTCTCAGCCCAGACATTTAGAACGATAAGTGGAACACTTTAGGGAGCAGTTTAGCTGGCCTTCAGCTACTGCACAACTACCCACCATTCCCAAACAGCCTGAATGGAAGAACATTGAAGTGGGCCCACCAACTCTAGCTAATTTTAAACGAGGAAGAGCATTTGGATTGGCTCAAGATGTCTTTAAGAATGGTGGTCTAGGTTGACTAATATTTTGGCTAAAATCTGGGAGTTGGACGTAATCCAATTTGACTGGTCGCAATCACTGATTGTCCCAATACATAAGAAGGGATCAAAATCACATCTTTTCATTCTAGTCGCAGTTCAAGTAAGCTAATATGGACCAATCATATATTTGCTGTGGGAGTTCCTGTAAACAAGAACAGTTATGAGATTCAGTAGCATAGAATAGGACAGAATGCATTACTAATTTTTAACGATGAAATGTTTTATTGATACTACCCTGTCGCCCAAAATGAAGATGACTGAAAGTCGAACTCCTCAGCCACTAAGCCAGTACGCCAGTGAAACGTTAATGACACCTAGATTCTTCAACCTATAAGAACTCTGAAAATTTAGTGACTTTTCCGACAGCAAGATAACCAGGACTAGTATGATTTATCACTATGACGAATGAAAGTGTAGGGGAAAACTAAGCAAATATTGTTTTAGGTTTTGGAGTTACACAGTAGATTTCATACATAAGATGATAAGTAGCATAAATCAAAGACGTTAATTACTCCCCCAAAAAATCCCGAAAATATTTTAACAAAAGTATATTAGTATTCGAATATGACACATTTTTCTATTAAATACATATGCAAATATGTATGGGAAAATGTGGTAAATACACCAATGTATTAGATTAAGAATACTTGACAGCTTCCTTAAGGTATTTTTTTATAGGAAACAAACTTTACATCATACAAAGCGTTACAACAACTGAAGTTCATTTCAAACAGCTACATACTTACCAATAAGAGGCGGTCCCAAAATATTGGCCACACCCTGACAAAAAAAACAAATTCCAAGACCATTTGTAAGACGATGTAGCCCAACAAATTCTACCAACAAAACAGTGCACAGAGCATCATTAGCGGCCAGTCCCATACCAAACACGCCTAGATTTGAATGAAAATGAAACACTGTTAACTGTATAGAAAGTGCAGACAGGCGTAAACAGTATAGAGTCAAGTTTAATATGCACATTTCTCATTTTAAGCTTCCACCGAACACGAACAATATTTCAAAAACGATTACAACCGAACATATACATCCAGTTCACATTTTACTGACTAACGATGTCTTACAGATCTGAGTAATAACAGAGAGGACTGTTTTTCGGCGTAATCTACCACTGCTGAGCAGACAGACATAGATGGCAAGTTAATAAAAGATACATTCTTTTTTATATTCTTGTAACGATTATGTGATCCACCAACCCACAAGGGTTAACAGGATTTCCGAGGTAAATAAAGTGATTAAACTGCTCAGCTACTTCACTTTGCTACAGAACCAAATATCAACTCAGGCCAATCTTGAAGAAGTGTGTTCAAAATATTCTTGAATTATCGTATGACATGTTAACAAGACTGCTTTCTGTCAATTTCACAAAACAGAACTGCATTATTTACGCACAGTAAATAAACAAAACCCTTAGCACAGCCAACTAATTTGTGAAAAATAGGACGAAAATGTATGGCCTTTAGAGGCAAATATATAACGAAACTATGTACAGTAAGTGAACAACCTTCGAATAGATTACAAAACACTTGCTAGTTTGAAAGGTGTCGAAATCCACTAACTTTTTCTAGACTTTCACCGGTAGCTATTAGTATTCATTATTGATATGTTCATTTAACTGTGTTTTTATATCTTGCTTACACCTGGAAATGTAAACCTTCATCCTTAATCAAGCACCTAATTTTTTAAATACATCCATGACACGTCTTTGGAATAAGCTCCAAGACATTTTCCTTTTTCCTTGCTTGCCCAGCTATGTTCGTACAAAATAACTGCATTTCAAACTTGTGCGGCAGAAGGTTCAGTGACCGAATGATTCTTTTTGAAGCTGGTTGCGTCAGTCGTCCACCGTCAAGCTAACACTGATGATGTTGAATAGTGTTTCTGTTAATTCTGCAAAGATGTTAAATTTTAAAAACAAGTAACTCCGAAACTACCATCAGTCATTACTGAGCTTACTTTGAACGTATGAAAAATAGTATGTATCCTTCAAGATAATCGTCAGAAAGGTATGTGTGTGAAAAAGAAAAGTATCCGTATTTATGAGCTTTAAACCTCAATTTTAGGTTACTAACGAAGTGTAAAGTTCTGTTGTTCAGTAGCCTACAGTATTCAACACTAGGCAGAAAATACTAAAAATCCAAACATATTCTAAAATGAAAATTGACAAGAGATTTCAGGCTCTTTTTTTCATTTTAGGTAAAACATTCGCTTGATGAGGCCCCTTAGCCTTGTTTATACACCATCTAATTTGAAAAGTACTGTTAACAAACCTATCTCTTGAATATCACTGTTAGAATGGAAAGCTATACTGACAAGCGATGGTCACTAGTAGTGTAAGAACCTAGTTCAAATATTCATCAAAAGAAGTTAAGATGAAATACTCGGAATTCAATATAAGATTTATAAACATATAAATGAAATCTGCCGGAGCTCTTGTATGATCAGTTAGTTATGTACAGCCTGATCCATAAAACAAATCCTGTTTAAGTAACTAAAAAGCCAGCCAAACCACAGAATGGAAACTTCAATTCCAATTAATTTCCAACTATTGTATTATATTTAGGGTTGATCCTTGAATATATTTAACGTAACTTAAAGACGTTTTCAAATAGTGAACATAATAATTTCCTCAAAGTCATAAATTAGGGCTGCTACTTAATTATTATAGTCGCTCCTTATATTATGAGCGTACGCTTTGCACACTGCTGGTATATCAAGCAGAATAATGATCTCACATTTTGAGTATCATGCATAATATAATATGGTGACATAAACATTAGGACACTTGGAAGTATAATTATAATCGGGGACTCTAAGGAATTACTGCCACACACAACCCAATGAACCCGAATGGAAGTCAACTAGCAAAGTTACTGGAGTGGACTAAAAATGTACGCTAATATAGTAGTTACAAATAATTTTATAGTATTTGGAGATAGACAAATACACTTATTTGGTCATTAAAATTGTTTTCTTTAGTTGCACCTTCGTTTGCTAACAAAGATTAATATCTACAGTAATCAGAAGCAGTCCAACAGTTAAGGTGTGGGATTGGTGTTATTCAAAGTGTTGTCAATAAATAATTGATATAGTTAGTAGATGAGTCTACGAACATATATTTGGTTAAATAGTTGGACCTGTTTTGCTTCTAAAACAACTACGTCTGGTAGTAATTGAGTGTTACACTACAGTTTAATATTAAGTGGAAACAATGGAAAACTTGAAGAAAATACTTACTAGAATAAACTGCCATAGACATAAATGTAGTAAGTAACGGCATCAAGCACGTTGATACACCACATGCAAGAATCATGAAGAAATATAGAGTCAGAGAATCGACGCCATCACGATCAGCCAAGAATCCAGCCAAAACCTCGCCAACCATGTTAGCACCACCAAGAACAGAAAACAAAAGGGCTGCAAGTGTCTCACTAAGACCATAATTGATAGCACGCACACCCATAAAAAAATATGTAACATTGTACCAGAAGTAGAGTAAGAAATTTGAAACCATAAACAAAACAAAGGTAGGTCTTCTAAACAGTCGCAGATCGAACAGACGGTGAAAAATATCATGTTTGTCGGCACACATTTCTGTACAGCAATTACAATATATTTCCTTATCCTGACATTTTTCACCTTCATCCACCGACTTTAATTCTGATTTTCTACTCGCCAGACAACTACATTTATACCCCAGTGAACACTGAGATGACACATCAGATTCACTAGAATTGTCTGTTTTGTACACCCTTCTGAGATGATGAAGATCCGGCAGACTCACTGAACTCTGATGTGTGGAGCGATAACACTCAAGCAAACTAGATGAAGAACCTCGAGGAATGTTATTCTGATTATAACTCTGTGAGGTATTATGTGTAAACTTGAGGGAAGTGGTTTCACAGCAATCGTTGAGCATATACGTCTGATTGTCTTGACAGAGATTATTTAAGATGCATGCTTCATCTTTCTTAGGACAAACAGTGTCTTCATGGTTACAATGAATAGAGTTCGTGAACGATTTAGGACTTCCGTTGGTATTGTAAACTTCACATCTATTATTTACCTCACAGTTTTTATCTTGTGTATCACAATCAAAATTTTTAATAGGAAGTAAACGTGGGAACGAAACGATATCGGACCGAACTTCCGGAGATTGGAGTATGAAGCTGCACACTTTCTTGTTCCCTGACACATTATTTCGAGGTTTAAATGTAGATGCACCGTCTTTCCATACATCCTGATCTTGAGTTTGTTGTGCTTTCTTATATATTGGTTGTGATTTGGAGTGGATCGGAGAGATTTGAGTGAAATCTTTAGATAAATTTGTCTTGTTTTCCAGAACTTTGAAACAATTTCTATTAGATGAAGGACATACACGCACATCTGAAATCAACTTGTCATTAATTTCATTTGTTGAGTGTAAATAGCTCATTGTAACTCTACGAGGGGCTAACATATGGTCACGTAGCAACTTTATACGACCAAGCACATCCTTATCCAAGTAGTCTGCACTTTCGAAAGGTGGTAAACCCGACTCGCGAGCTAGGTGTTCCAACCAAGCGAGACGTTGTCTATGTCGTTTTTCGACGTCAGTTTCAACAGGACGCATCAGAGCACCACATACTATCATATTTAGGAAAAATCCAGACAGTATCATCATAGCCCCTCGCCACGTATAAATATTCAGTAGCATATCTACCATTGGAGCAAATACAAGAGCACCAACACCTGTACCTGCTATAGACAAACCAGTGGCAGTAGCTCGTCTGTTATCAAAATACATCGAGACAACAACAAGAGCTGATGTGATGCACAAGCTCGCACCCAGACCAGATAAGATACCGAACGAAAAGACCATTGATATAATAGAATTAGTGAAAGCGCCAGCAAAACATCCTAGACCGCTTATCAGACCACCAACCATGCACGTTACTCGACATCCAAAGCGATTAAGCAGCAACGAAGACAAAGGGGCAGCGAGCGCAGGAATACCATACGAAAATGATCCAATCCACGAAGTAGCACTCATTGAGTCTTGGAATTCCTCAACGAGAGATTCAATAAAAACGCCAAACGATACTATTACCCCGTCGGTTATCATATGAACGAAAAATGTGGCGATTACAACAACCCAGCCCCAACCTCCATCTGGAGGTTCTGGTAAGGACAGTTGACTTGGAGACAATGGAAGTCGCACGCTACTGGATGCATCACTTAAATTTGACACAGAGATAGAAGACATCGTTGTCGAAGAGCTTGAATGATCGCTGAGAGATGACAAGAAGTAAGGCATATACCTTGCAAACGTAGGAGAAACGAAATTGGATGTTGTCATACTTTTCAATGATTTAGATGTTGGTAAAGTGGGTTCTGAAAGAGTACGTGACGACTTATTCATACCACATCCCTTCCTTCCTGACTGAAACTTATTTAAGAAACGTGTGTCGAAGTCCCTATTTTCACTACACGGAACTAAGCTGAAAGCAGCCGACGGAAGAGAAACTGCTAATTTTTCTAAGCAATCCATTTGAGGAGAGGTTTTAAAGGCGTTGGTATTTTCTTTATCCATTATCAAAAATATTGAATCCTTATGTATATCGAACAAAGGCTATTTTTTCAAATATGCCAAACCTTTTAACTGTATTGGATGAATATTGTTAGATAAAAAGATAATACAAGCTTGTTCAGAATATGCAAGTCACCCAAGCAGACCAGTAACATAAATGACTACCCTTAAAACAAATGGCAATTGAGAATTATTGTTCATAGAATAGATAAGGATCAGCAATGCTTGCGGATGTTCCCATCAAAACTAGAGTACCTACACAAATACTTTGAAATATCATACGGTCGGCACAGAAGCGCACACACCAAATTTGCCTCTAATTCAATACACAATATCTTTTCCTCCGCTTCTAGATGTAACTGTACAGTTACAAGTCTTCATTATCATCGAGTGTGGGAGCGCAATCACTCGGCTTCACGAATCCTCGTGGATTTGATGGTTAGTTTTGTTCAGTTTCAGTTTGGAAAGGACAGGAGGCTTGATGGCCTGTGTTAGTCCTGGCAATGATGGTCTCTCAGCTGATCCAACTTTCTTTTGAAGGAGTCGACGGATGGAACCTCAACCACGTGCTGAGGTAATGAATTCCACTCGTTGATTATTCGATGGGAAAGTCGGTAGTCAGCTGACAAGTAATTCGTTCTGGGCTTGTGAACTTTTTTGGAGTGTCCTCGTAGATTTTCTGTTTTGGAAGACAAGAAAAATGAGGGCATATCAGGTGCAAATTTGTCATTAAGCAATTTGAAAACTATAATCAAGTCACCTCTGATTCTTCTATATGACAGCGGGAATAGGTTTAGCTTGGTCAGTCTAGTACCATACGGGAACTACGCTATTCCGGGAATCAGCCTAGTTGCTGTTCTCTGAACCCTTTCCAAGAGTTCACTGTCTTTTTTAGGCAGGGGTTAGCTGCTTGTATACAGTACTCAAGTTTAGGGCGTACGAACACTGTATACAAAGTCAAAAACGTTTTAGCGTCAAGATGCCTAAAAGCCCTGCGTATGGACCATAAAGTCCTAAAACCTTTGCTGGCTATTGCACGGCAGTGTGCAGTAGTCTTTAAGTCTTGACTGACGATGACGCCCAAGTCGTTGTGTGCCTGAACAATAGGTAACTCAGTGTTATTCATCGTGTATGTATCTGTACCCTGGTGGCCAATATGCATCACAATACACTTGGAAGTGTTTATCGGAAATTGCCAGGTTTGGGACCATTCAGATAATCTCTCCAGGTCATTTTGAAGTTCTAAGCTATCGCCCTTGCTTTGTATCGCTCTCCATATCTTGACATCATCAGCATAGAGTAAGACCGATGACGATAGTAGACGAGGGAGATCAGTTACGTACAGGAGGAATAACACTGGCCCCAAAACTGTACCCTGGGGGACTCCACTAAGCACAGTTTCCCAGCTAGACAACTTGGAGTTCACCCTTACTCTTTGTTGACGCCCAACTAGGAAGTCTTTTATCCACATCAATAGATTGCCTCCAATCCCGACATTCCTTAGCTTATATAACAGCCGGTTATGCGGAACTTTGTCGAAAGCTTTGCTGAAATCGATGTAAGCTACGTCTATAGGTAATTTTTGGTCCTTAAGAGCGCACCAGCTTTCACGAGCGACTAATAAGTTTGTGAGACAAGAGTAACCTGTTCTAAAACCATGCCGCTTTTCGGAGAGGATCCGGTTTTCATCGAGGTACTTTAACAGTTCCTTCCGAATAATCTTTTCTAAGATTTTAACAACCACACTAGTTAGGCTAATTGGTCGGTAATTCTCAGGCTTATGTTTTGTACCTGTTTTGAAGACTGGACTTACTATGGCGTTCTTCCAGTCTTTTGGTAGACGAACCTGGGTTACGGATAGATTAAAACATACACTTAAAGGGTTCGCAACAAAGTTAGCTAATTCCTTTAGTAACCTAGGATGCAGTTCATTGGGTCCAGTGGATTTACCTATGTCAAGCTTAACTAGCAGACCAAAGACATCGAGTTCTTTAATGGTTACGCTGTCCAGTGCTTGTGTGGGGGGATTTTCATGGACTGGTGAGAAGGGTGTTTCTATGGTATATACATCGCTAAAGTATTTAGAGAATACTTGAGCTTTGCCAAAGTTAACCTCCACTAGTGATGTGGCAGTACTGTCTCCCCATAGTGAAGGAACATTTCTTCTTCTTTTTGTCCTTTGGTTTATATACGAATACAAGCATTTAGGGCATCCTATGGATTCCCTAACGATTTTCTCTTCGTACAGCTTTCTGGCCTTACGGAGGGTTGAGGCACAGGTATTTCGAGCCTTTTGATACTGAGATTTTGCCTCGTCAGTCTCCAGTAACCTAAATCTGTCCCACATTTTCCTTCTTTTACGGAGAAGGATGCGAACCTCCATACTGAACCACGGTGGTGAGTTTCTCGGTCTCTTAGGTGTAGTCCAAGGGATGTGGGGGGTGGTAACTTTTAAGTATAAATTCCGGAATATGTCCCAAGCTGTTTCGATTGATGACTCTGGGTCTAATTTCCAATCTACTAATGATGCTGATTTCATGATGTCTGGTATGTTTGCTTTCCAGACGTTAGGTCTGGATTGAGCTGAAGCGTACTCGTGATCGACAGTTATATGGAAGTCAAAGCTTAAAACTGCATCATCACTTTTGCCTAGGGGTGGCATGTAATCCAGGTTTGCAACATCATCCTCATAATGAGTCAATATAAGATCTAGTAAGGATGATGCAGAACCCGGGTCGTAACTAGTTGCTTCCTTCACGTGTTGCACTAGGGCACATGTGATTACCGCATCAACTACTTCCTGTTCGAAGGAGTTTGCTGACGATTCAGTCGGCAGATTCCCCCAGTCCACCATGGGTGCGTTAAAGTCCCCTAGGATTAGACATCGATCACTTCGTGATAAAGTGTTGAGACTGCTTAGCAGGACCTCGTTTGCCTCACAGCTTGGACTGCGATAGATCAAACTAAGTAGCAACTCTTGTCCCCTGCATTTCAGGCGGCAGCAAACTAATTCATACGTCCCACTCTCATGGGATACACTGTCGATAATGGTGAATGGAATAGCATTCCTAATGTATAGAGCTACTCCCCCTCCTTTACGCGCTTGTATTCTATCGGCCCTTACCAATGTAAAACCCTCGAAATCAAGTTCCCTACTATCTATAGACGGCGTCAGTCATGTTTCTGTGACTGCGATTATGTCTGGCCTAGTTGAGTCAATCTGTACACCTAGTTCCGGTAGCTTATTTAGTAAGCTCCGGGCGTTGGTATAACAGATCCGAAGCCTATTTAGGTGGCCTCGTGCTTCACCCAGAGTGGCTTCGGCATCATCCTCTGTCGATGCCTCACAACCCGAAAATTTACAATTTTCAGGTCTTTTGTTGAGTATGAATAGGTGCATTTGTGTTTGGGAAGTATAGTTGCCAGGACAAGCAGTTATTGCATAGTTGGGTAAGAGATTTACTGAATGCAATGTGAAAGATCATAAAATTAAGATGTAGAGGAGCGAGTAAAAAGCAAAGGTCAGGATGGGTAAATCAATAATTCACGCTGGTAGAATGAGCAGACAAGTGTCAACGATTAACAAGTAGACAGAGATGAAAATAGGTGAGGTGAGCATAGATGGGTTACATTAAATAGTAACAATAACGATAGCGGTGTTAATGTTATCAACAATAAGGCACGAGATACGCATCAGGTGCTGCTACTCCAGAGAGAGGGTGGTAGGAACGTTTTTATTGGTATACCCAAAAGTACTTAGCATCAAAGATACCATAAGTATCTAGAGTCTGACGATACCTTACCCAGTAACACCCTTTATAGTCGAAACGTTTCAACTCAGTGAAATCAGAAGTCAGAATTGAAGAGGCTCGAAGATATATGTTTTGGAATTTACAGTCTACTTCGTTATTAGTAATGCTCTAATTATAGACCTCATCCTGAAATTGTAGATTTGTAATGATGTGAATATCTGATCTGTAAGATCTTACGTAGAGGTCACATAAATGTCTACACTGACTCATCTTACAGTACTCACTGCCAAAATATGATGGAGAACACTTTGAGGCTGGAGATAGAACAATATATTTAATATGAATAAACGTGATAAGACAGCATACAAGAGTGACTACGCTTGCGAGGTTGAGTTTTGCCACCTTATTGGATTCAAATAAATTCCCTCTTTCCATCGTCTCCATTGTTGGGTTTCTCTCAGTGTTAATTACTGAATATCTGTTTTCCCAGTTGTCTCGTGTTTAGCTTTGAGGATTGTGTGCTTGGAGCCCAATGCCATTGAATATTTGATAGAATATTGATATAACGAAAAGTGACAAATCCAGTTTGGTGGTCTTAGGAGAGTTTATTCACTCGTAATCTAGCGCGGCCGTACGAACGAGGGAATTCATCTAGGTGAGCTCACTGAAATTAATGCATTCGGCATCAAGTGTCACAGTTCTATGGATCCATTGGTTTTGGGGATTTGTTGACCGCTACAGATCACTTCCTCCCTAGTGATTATTATTATTATTCACAAACATCTTATGGGTACATAAGCGCTGTGAAGAAACCATTTCGGGTTTCTTCAAAAATGCAATAATACACAATTTTCAATAATGTTAGCATTACATTTGCCATGTTTGAGAAAGGAAGGAAAAATAAAATATTAATAATAGAATAGTAATAATAAATCAGGTTCTGCGAAATTGGCCAGAATTTTGAATTGATTTTGAAGGAGGAAAGGAAGAAACTTAGGAAATAGAAACAAAGGAGTCGCGGAATACTTAAATGTATGTAAATGATGTAGTGATGACTCTGAGACGTGGACAGTTAGAAGTTTAAACCCGACGATTTTGTCGTCAGTAAGCACTTTCCTGATAGCTTACTATGTTCAGCAGCGTCTGGTCGTCTTTTCTAACCATAAGGGGTCATGTTGTACAATATGGTAATGGAAAACATGTACAATAAAAATTTCGGTTCATCGTAAATTTCGTCATTTTTTCGCATCTTTATCAGCCGTCCTGCAAAAGAAAAGACAGGATATGTAATTACATGTCTAATCGCACTTGTACGTGGGTGGACAAAAAATGGGCGGAAAGAGAAAATAATCTCTTATGCATGCATTTCGTGAACTTTCAATAGCATAGAAACAATTTTTGCAGAAAGAGTTTTTGGGTCTTTTTGAAAAAAATAGAAATATGGGCACATAATCAAGCATACTAACAACAAAAAATTTGTCTTTTCGGGATAAAAATATTTACATATATGAGCGTATCAAAAATAGTTTGTTATTTTGACACAACACAAAATAATCGAAACGAAAC